AGAAATAAAAACTAAAAGTTATTTTTATAATTTACAATATAATAAATGATAATTAAAAAAAACATTTATGCCATATTAATGTTAATACATTTTTGTTTTGTTTTCTATAATTTAAATAAATAATCAATTAATAATATTTAATAATTATTTTAATAAAATTTTTAAATTTAATTAAATATAGTGTAATTTTTTTTGAAAATTAATTTTCAAAACAATCATTTGATAATGTATTAACATTCAATTTTTTATTTATTTATGTACAATAATTTTTTTTAAATGTTCAAAAGTATTCATGTTATTGTTGTATGATTTTATTTTACAAATAAATTTATGATAATGTTTTTTAAAAACAATTCAAAAATGTTTGTTTTTTAAGAATTTTTTATAATTAACAATATTTAGACAATATTTTTTATTATTATAATATATTATCATTACAGTAGTATAAGTTGACATTATAATAATTTGAAAGTTAATTTTGTTGTCAATATTAGATATCGCACGTATAATACTGTTATCTGTGTTAATGAAAAAAAAATCTTAATATTTTATTTTTTATTAATATTTTATATAATATTTACATAAAATAGTTTAGGAAAAGTCATGACAAACATCGATCCGACAGTGAAACCAATGATTGTGTGTTTTGCCGACAATTTCTCAATGAATGACATCAGAGATAACTTTAGCCGAGTTTTGCTTATTGTATTGATTTGTATTGATATTAATGTATTTTTAGATAATGTAATAGATTTTGAGACCATTGATGCAAAATATGATATAATAAATATACCAAACCAGGTATAAAATATACATAATATATATGCAAATTGTAGTAATGAATTAACTTTAGTAAATAAAAATGCTGACAACATTAATAAATTAGCAGGTAGTAAAAATATTATTATAGTAAAATAAATTTTACGCCAAAATTTGTTAAATTTAATAATTTGTAAACAAATAATATTATGTTCAACAATTAGTTTTGTTTTAAATGTTTTTAATTTTAAAATTTTAAATTTTTTTCGATTTAGTTTATTAATAATCTGATTCAACAATTGACATCTTTTATGAAAATATTGACAAATAATATAGAAATATGACATCGATATCAACCCATTGAATATATTATGATATACTGATTGATTTAATATTGCTAAACAGGGTATGGATAGTATAAATGTTGATAATGTATAAAATTTTATACCAATTAATAGTAAAAAGACAGCAAAAATAAATCCTATAATTAATTTAATTATTTGTTTAAAAAACAAATATTTAAAAAAAAAATATTTAGTAAAACAAATATTTTAGAGAAAAATATATTATTATTATTATTATTATTATTACCTGATATTTTTGTGCAAACAGTAATTAGTATACTTAAAATTTTTAATTTATTATTCAATATATTAATAATTATAATTTGTTTTTCGTTAATATCTAATTCATTATAATTATAATGATTTTTGATTATATAAAACAATTTTGTCCAATAGTTATTTTGTTCAATATTTGTATTAGATTTAGAAAACAATAATTGTAAAAATAAACCAAAACAAGTGCCGCAAATAAATATACATATATTAAACTGTTTAATACCACCAATAAATACAGTAAAATCAAATAACAGCATACGTTCCGAAATAGTATAATTTATCAATAAAATTGATAATAATTTTATAATATTAATTATATTAAATAATAGATTTAACTTATTGAGTATACTATTTTGATAATTAATTAAATAAAAATAATGATACATTTTTGTTGTTGTTTTTTTACTATAAGATTAAAACATTGTTAATAATTTTTTGTTTAATGCATTTAAACATTTTTTTTTATTAATTATAAATATTTTATTAACTAAACTAAACTGTAAAAATATAAGACTGTTTTAAGTTTATATCAATATTATTACTGTTTTTATAAGAATAATATTCTTATTATTATTATAATTATTATTATTAAAATATATTCAACAATTTAAACAATATTATACTATTATTATAATTACAAATTTATTATAATTATTATTATTAAAATATATTCAACAATTTAAACAATATTATACTATTATTATAATTACAAATTTATTATAATTATTATTATCTAAATTTAACTTAAATTTCAAGTACAATTAATTATTAAACTATATTAATTAATTATTATTTAAAAAAAACATTTACAGATAATTATAATGTTTTATTAATTTGTTATTTTCATCATTAATGATGTATTTTTTACAATACTTTTATAATATAAAAATTATTTAAGCAACATATATAAAACAAATTAATGTTTATAATAACTTTTAATTGTTATAATTAAAATCAATAATTGTAACACATAGTAGAAAGAGGTCTAATAAATTAAATTGAATAAATATTAATATAAATAATTTTTTTTAAACAATACAATTAATATTAGTTTTAACATGATAAAATAATTCACTTAGTAATATATATATTATTTTTTAATTTTATATCAACTAGTTTTTAATGATTAGTATTTAAATGTTTTAATTTATAAAAAAATTGTAAAATTATAAATGATTTGACTTTTAAACAATTATTTATATTTAAATAAGTATAATATTAAGCGACAAATAATTTTAGTAATACTTACTTTTCTACAACTTTTCTATACTTACAACTAGACTGGGAGTGTATTATACAGTATTTGACTTTATTAACAATTATTTATATCAGTATAATATTAAGCAAAAAATAATTTTAGTAATTAATGTTTTTTACAACTTTATTAAAAATAAACAATTTTTACATTATATTACGCAAATTAAAAGCTTAGTTAATTAGTTATTAGTATTTAAATGTTTTAAATTATAAAAATTATAGTAAATTAAAAGTTAATTTTGTTGTCAAAATTAAATATCGCACATATAATACTGTTATCTAGAATATTAAAAACAAGTAAAAATGTGATTATAAATATTTTTAATATTTTAAAAGAATATTTACATTAAATAGTTTGGGAAAAGTCATGACAAACAGCGGTCCGACAGTAAAACCAATGATTGTATGTTTTGCCGACAATTTCTCAATGAATGACATCAGAGATAACTTTAGCCGAGTATTGCTTATTGTATTGATTTGTATTGATATCAATGTATTTATTGATAAGTGTATTGATTTTGAGACAATTGATGCAAAATATGATATAATAAATATACCAAACCAGGTATAAAATATACATAATATATAAACATATTTTAATAATACATTAACTTTAGTAAACATTAATGATGATAACATTAACAAATTAGCCGGTAATAAAAATATTATTATAATAAAGTAAATTTTGCGCCAAAATTTGTTGAATATGATAATTTGAAAACAAATTTGATTATGCTCACTTAATATTTTCCTAATCAATGCTAATTGTTTCAATTTTTTTGAAGTTTTAGTTAGTTTACTAATAACTTGCATTAATAGCATTAATCTTTTATGAAAATATTGACAAATAATATAGAAATATGATATCGATGTCAATACATCCAATACATTGTAATATATCGATTGATTTACTAATATTAAACAAGGTATGGATAGTATAAATGTTGATAATGTATAAAATTTTATACCAATTAATAAAAATATCACAATAAGCAGCAAACCTGAAAAAATTTAAAAATTATATTTTTTTAAATTAAATTATTACTATTAATAATTATGTAATATCAGTGTTATTATTATTATTATTACCTGTTATATTTGTTAATTTTTTAACAATAATGCTTAATGTTTTTAACTTATTAGTTAATTTATAAATTATTGAAATTTGATTTTTGGTAATTATTGTAGACTTAGAAAATATTTTATTATTATTTAATAAATAAAACAATTTTTTCCAATAGTTATTTGTTTCATTTGATTTTAATTTAGTAAACGTTAGTCGCAAACAAAATCCACAACAAATACCGCAAATAAATATATTTATATTAAACTGTTTAATACCACCAATAAATACAGTAAAATCAAATAATATCATACGTTGGGCATCTGTATAATTAATAAATATTATTGATAATAATTTTATTATGTTAAACAAATCACATATTAGTTTTAAATTATTTAAAAATTTATTTGAAATATTTACTAAATAGAAATAATTATACATTTTATGTATTAGCTAAAATTACTTTTAATATTTAAATTATTTAATTAGTTACTAAATATTTAAACTAATATATGATATGAAAATTATTATATAAACTTTACTTGTTAATGAAAATATCTATTTATATTCAATAATAAAAAAAATATTTAACAAAAATAATTATATTATATTTAATAGTATTATTATTATTATTATTTTCACAATTTTTATTTTAGTCAATTTAACTTACCTAATAGAAACGTGTAGTATAATTTATACTAAAAAAATAATATTATTGAATATAAATAATAATTTATTTTATTATTTATATGTAATTGAATTTAATAATATATATTTATATAAATATTTTCATTTTGTATACCTGTATTATTTTTAATGTCATGGATATAATGATAACAAAATTTATTAAACAATATTATTAGGATATATATTCAATTATGTTTACAGCCTGTTTTTATATTTAAAAAAAACAATAATTTTTAATCAATATATTAATAATTAATAATAAAAAAATTGTCTCATATATTATATAATAAAAATTAACATTAAGAAAAATATTAATATTTCAAATAATTAATTAATTTCTAGTTTTATTTTCTACTACAATCTCTGCCCAATTGTTTACATTTAGAGCACAGGGATGTTATGTGATGTTTGTTCGGGTCATTCCTTTTATCCATACCTTTGGGTCGTTGTAGTTGACTCTAAAAAACAGTTACGGTTAGTAACAAATAATTATATATACAGTACAGTATAGTTAGTAATATAATTATATATGACATATAGTTGTTGTTGTTATATATTGTATATATATATAAATTAATATCACCACACAAGTCATACCAATTTGTGTGCATCGGTAGATATTTTACATTTGATACACTGTTGGCCAAAACCGAGCCACGAATGAGCGGAAAACCATGTCCTCAGACACCGGAAGCACTGGTATTGACCGAAATAGCGTTCATCGGTTACCGGAGTAAATGCTAATTATTATTATAAATAATTATTAAAATTTATTATTAATTTTTTTTATTATATTATTACTATTTTGTTAATTTTTAAAAAATATCATTGATAATTATAATAATTTATTTATATTTAAATATATAAATATTATTAATTATTTTATTATATTGAAAATAATAATACTTACAATTATTTGTATCAATAGGACTCATCAAATGCTTAAAAAGTTAATTTTAAAAAAAATAATTAATAATATTTATATATATAAATAAATTATTATAATTATCAATGATTTAAAAAAAAAATTAATTTAATATATTAAATACCACTTTCTTAGGCCAACAGTCCTCCTGTTGATGACATTCAGGACACTCGCGGGACTCCTGTATGTGCAGCTCATTGACTGTCCACTTGTGGCCACACCTACACCGAAATTCGGCCGAAAATATGCGCTCTTTTTTGACATACAATAACAAATTGTTAATTATTTTTTTAAAAATGTTTATTTTTTAAGATAAATAAATTAAAGCAAAAAAAATTCAAACAACAACTTACTATTTCTCAGTTTTCTTGATTTAGACACCATTTGTTTTGTTATTAATAATAATTTAAAAAACAATTTTTTTAAATATTTATTTTTAAAATTATCATTTAAACTTTATTGTAGTTTTTTTTGTTCATTTATTGTAAAATTATATATATATATATACTGTATATATATATTTATATCTAATATATTTTATATAATTAAAACAATAAACTATTTAAAAAACCAACTGATAATAAAAATTTGCTGATTTTTTATTCATTTGATTGAAAATTATATGTTTTATTCTGTGTATTGTCTGTAATAATATTATAATTATTTTACTAAAATATTTTATTACTAATTTTTATTTTAACCCTTTGTTTAGATTATTGCTATAAATTTGATAAATCAAATTAAATATATATATATTAATATATATAGTTATATATTTAATATCTATGATATCATATCACATATATTTACGGTATGTACTTATGTTTAACATACGCCCATTTTTTATTTGTATTATTATTATGATAAAAATTAAATATTAAAATATTAGCATTAAACTGTATAATAAATATTTTTAGATATGAATAAATTTTTTGATAAAAATAAATATTTATTAATATTATAGAGACACAGATGTTTTGTATGTTTAATGTTAGTTACAACAACAACAAAATTATTTTATATTTTTAATGCAACAAAAAAATTTCCAAAAATATATAATAAAATTCGTAGATATTTAACAATTTTATTTATTTAGAAAAAATTGACATTTTTAACTCATTAATTAGTTTTTTTATAAGTTAAAGATAGTTAATTAATTTATTATCATTATTATTAGTTATTAATAATTATTTAAGAGATATTATTTAGAGAGAGAGAGAGAGAGAGAGAGAGAGAGAGAGAGAGAGAGAGAGAGAGATTAGACACTATGACATAGAGAGCACTTCCGATTGTTTAATTAATTTTGATTAACAGAAGTACAGTCTATGTCCCGGTGCCGAACCTCACTGTAATTGGTGTCCAATTAGATTAATAGATGTCTTCTATAACTACCGGTCCTGACAACGACAACGACGTTGTAAACTGTCTATCCGGCAATAGTTGACTGTTTAAACAACCAAAAAAAAAATAATAATAATTAATTACTAATATATAAACAATAGTAAAATTATATAATCATTGATAAAATTATATGAAATCATATATATTTTCATAATATATATATTGTATTAATGGTTTATATGACACATACCTGTGTGTATACCATAGGATAAGCTATAGCTAAAGCTTCGGGACATAGACTGTACTTCTTTTTCTTCTTCATCATCAATCAACTGATGGATAATAGTTGTCGTCATAATCATCAGTATTATAATAATAATATTATTATTAATACAACAATGAGTTTGCATTAATCATTCAATAATATGTTTTTTCCAGAATTAATAATAAATTATTAAGTTTTTAATATTAATTTAGACTTAAGTTATGTGTAATATAGTATTAATCATTTTATTATTAAAACAAACACTAAAAGTAAAATAAAAAACTAATTTTTCACAATAGTATATAATTTTTTTTAAAAAAACGTTTGTAATTTTAGACACAATAATTGAATGTGATACTATAATAATGTTATTTGAAACATTTGAATTATGTAAATAATATATATATATATATTACTTATATTATTTATATATTAATACAATATATTAATATTTAATAAGTTATTATTAGTAAAACTTTATGTGTTATGTGTAGACAATAATTTCCAATCAAAACAACGACCAACAAAAAAAAAACTAACGGAAAACTTAAATATCCGTTATTTAAAATTTAATTACTATTTGTTGGCTATATTGATATATTGTATTTATGACTATCAGTATTAATATATATATATATATATATATATATATATTAATCACTGATTTTTAGAGATGACTGATCAATAATATAAAAACTTATATAAATGAAATATTATTTAGTTATTTGATTTTATTTTTTTGTGTATATATTTTATTTATAAGTAACACTAACAACAAAAAAAGTTATATTGTAAATAAAAATTATATATAGACTGTATAAACTGTATAAACCAAGCATGCTTATTTTATTATTTTTTTTATTTGTAAAAATAAACAAATTTTTAACAGTTATTACTCTATATTTGGCAAGTGTTATGGCTTTTATCATATTTTTATGGCTAATACTGTTATTTATTATTTTTTTGGTGTATAGTTTTATTGCATAACTTATATAAATATATCCAATATATTAGTTTATCAATCTGTATATAATGTATATATAACTATAGTTTATAAGTACTTTATATTTTAAAACAACAACAAAAAACCGACAAAATTAATGTTAAGTAAAATAAAAAGTCTGCGTTAATAACATTTTGTTAATGTTTTATATATATATATATATATATATATATATATATATATGTACTGTATTTCTAAATGTTAATAAAAATTATTATTATTAGATATTTAGCATTAAATGCTAAATTATTTTATTATATTAAAGATAAACAAAAAATACAGATTTACTACTAATATATTTTTATTTGATTTTTTTTTAAAAAAATGATGTTTAACTAAACCAAAATATTTAAAAATAATATTATCATAAAATTTATAGTATAAAATATAATATCATTTATTTATATATACAATTGAATATAAAATGTTTCTAACAAATAATATTATATAGATTTTTTGGGATTTATAACCCAATTAGTAGATTTTTTAAAAAAATTACTTTAATATAATTTGATGAAAACCCCAATCACATGATTTTTGTTAAAATTTTTAAAAAATTTAAATACAGTAATAAAATATTTATTTTTTTCTATTTAAAATATTTTATGATACGACTATTGTATATGTAGTTATCAACAAATTAATTAATTATTATTATTATTCATATAGTTTATCAATAAATTGTTGATAAAATATTTGTATACTTTTTCGCCTAATTTTTAGGGCCGGTGTTACCAAACCGTTAGCCGGTGTCCATTCATCGGAGCACAGCATAATTTTTGAAGGTATTTCCATTTTATGCAATCGCCCGGTGCTCTGGCAATACAGTCGTAGTTCACGGCATACATAGTCAACCAGTTTTTTATTTTGACACAAATCTGAAAACTTTTCAATGTTGTTCACATCATTATTGTCGGCGGCGACTAACTGAGCGGCCAGTTCTCGAATGGACAGTTGGTTTGGCGATATCAGTGCTATTAGATAGTCGTGTCGTGAGTCTCCATAGACGCACACGTTGTCGACAAACTGGAAATTTTTTAGCTCCGACTCAATCTATTGATTAATTAATTATAGAAAATGTTTTAGATCTCCAGTTCCTCTCTCTCTCCCCCCCCCTGTTTGTGACATACCTTTCCCAGCGATACGTATTCGCCGAACTGTAGTTTTACAAAATCTTTTTTGCGGTCAATTATTTTGAACACACCGTTACCGTCGACCTCCACAATGTCGCCCATACGAAACCAATGTATACTACTATTGTCACCAACAGTACCGGCCGATGACGACACCTCAAATGCCTCTCGTGTTTCGTCGTCCAGTTTATAATAGCCAACCGCCACATTGGGTCCGCCGACAACTGCCTCTCCCCTTGGGTACGGTTTGTCAGTTGGCCGATAGCCACCTTCTGGCCAGTCTATTAGCCGTACTTTAAGGCCAAACAATGGCGAACCGATATGACCGGTGCCCAGATTGTCGTCAAAATCTTGCGATGTGACCGATGCCGTGGATTCGGTTGAACCGTAGCCCTGAAAGTACAGTTATATACTTATACAGCTATTACATATACCGTCCCCCCCCCCCAATGGATATCATACCTGAGCCAAATTAATATTGAGACAGACCCGCAAAAACTGTTGAGTATACGAGTTAAGTGGCGCACCGCCAACCATCATATAGCCAAGTCGGCCGCCGACCATTGCCCTGATCTTGCGACACACTAAGTAGTCGATGATCGGTGTCCGATAACCCCGGAGCTGCCATTGGATTTTATAATCGACAGCATAGTTGAACATTGTCTGAAACAACTGTCCCCGTTTGGCTACAGTAGTCTCGATGCCTTTGCGTATGCGCTCCAGTATGAGCGGTACGGACACCATAAACGTAGGCCGTAGTAGTGCAATATCACTTTTGGTGACATCGCGTAGGGCAGTGCCAGCACCGGTCAACGTATTCGGTGTACCGTAACCTATGCGGACACCCGAAGTAAAACAAAACATTTCGGCACAAAACTCCAGGACATGGGTTAACGGCAGATACGCTATGTACAGGTGCTTACGGGGTTCGGCAAACTCACGGTAGACTAGTGTACGTATGCTTACCAGTCCCGACAGTATCTGTTTGTGTGTCAATATAACACCCTTGGGTACACCAGTAGAGCCTATTTTCATATCAATTAGGATATAGTTTATTATAGACTATTTAATTTTTAACTAATTAAACTAACCGGACGTATACTGTATGAGCGCTCTGTCATCCTCTGTAGGCACTAAACCAATCAACTTTTCCGGTGCCAACTGACCATCTTTTTCTAACTGTTCAAACTTAATCAGCTCTACAGTGTTGTCGCCATTAGTGGCATCAGGAGTACTGTGCTGTCTATAGGGTAGTTCAATGTAGACAACAGTCTTTACCCGTGGTATCTGTGCTCTGATTTTTGCCAATTTCGTCAACAGATCTTCAGTAGTGATCACATGAGTTACTTCTGTTTCGTTGATACCGTAGACAAGACTGTCGGTGCCCAGTGTTGAGTACAGTGTTGTGATTACGGCACCGATACGTAGGATTGCCTGTGCTGTCAGTAGCCACTCTGTAATTAATAGAAATATATATATATTTAATAACTAAATGATTAGTTTTTTTTAATAATTTTATTATCAAAATATATTTTTTAATTATTTCACATTTTATTAGACTTTAAGTAATAATTCAAAACTATAGTAATAATTTAATTAATTGTTTTATAATTATAATTAATAAGTTAATACTATTAAGTTAAAATTAATTTTATTTAAATATAAAAAACTATATTGAGATTTAAACAACTAATAAAATAAAATAAAATTTTACATTTTTAAACTAATTTTTTACTAAAAAATATCAATATTTGTTATAATAAAAAATAGTAACATTTTTTTCTGAAACACATACCTAATCTGGTGTCAAAAAATATGAGTACCGTATCTCTGGGTTTGACACCATTTATCAGCAAACCCCGGGCTATATGTGCAATACGTGTGTCGGCCTCACCGTAGGTCAGCCACTGATAGTCACTTAATTCACACTTTTTGAGTACTTTACCATCGCTTTGACGGACATCCACTTCGCTTAGTACTTGTCTATAGCCTAGACATGGAGTGTCGACACCGTTTACTTCCAGCGACCGACGCTGCGCTTCGGGCAGTGTCCGACAATCGTCCAGATAGTGGTACGGCAATTGGCCGGTTCGTATCCACGGTGAATACGGATCGTTGGGGTCCTCCTGACGGGCCCTCACTCTATAGGCCCGTTCAAGCACTCTGAACGGCTGTTGAATAGCATAATATACGGGTAGTGTTAGATAGGTATAGATTAGGACAAGTAGTTTAATCAACAATAACAGTATCAATGTTTGCACTGGTAGTCTATTTGATGATTTGTTTGATGAGTTATCCATGAATTTGAATTGAATTTTTTCAAAAATATATATATATATTTAAAAATATAATGTACGGTAATTATTGAAAAAACGCGTTTAAATTAATACAAACAACAATAGTTTAAACAAAATAATAATAAACTTGTAACAACAAAATATACTTGAATAATATTTTTGATAATAAATTGAAATTTTTATTTTATTTTAAATATATTCCCCAAAATAATAATAAAACATGTTAACCTTGATAATATTATTTTTATGTATTTAACCAAAAAATTATCTTAATAAAATTATTCTACTGTATACAACAACATACACATAGACATTAGACATAAATATAAAATTTACTGAATATAAGTACAGTATTATATTTTAATAATAATAAAAATAAATTTTTAAAAATAAATTGATTCATGAGTTTTGTGAGAAAAGTTATGATTATCTGATATCTTCATGTTATTTACAAATTTTATTTTATAAATAATAATTAACTTTCAATATATTCAGTATTTTAAATAACAAAGATATCTTATTTCAAATTAACTATAATTATAATTTATACAGTAATATAAATTATTATTATTATTATTATTATTACTTCAAAAAAATATTATATATGAATTTAAAATCAAAACAAAAGAGTATATTTATAAAAATATATAAAAATATAAATATCATTACTATCCGTGTGTTTACATAAATATTATAATCATATCATTTTGATAAATAACTGATAATATGTTTAATCATAAAAATATTTTCATTATATTATTATTGATTTTTAAAACTATTACAAAGTTATTAGCATTAAATATATTTATGTTTTCTATATACTGCTTATATGTTTATATTTTATAGATATATCACGTTTTAGATTTAATATGTGTTAAAATAATATATTTATTTAATTTTTATTTGAAATAGTAATTAAATATATACCGTATATATATATCATATAAACTTATATTTAAAGTAAAAATTAATACATAAAAATTTAATAGTGTGTAAATAATATGTATAATTTGTTTTTAAAAATATATTATTGAATGTATAATTTTAAATAAAGTGTATAAAATATATATTTAAAAAAAAAAATTATATTATTATTATTACTACTAAACGATTATACTGTATAATTGAATACAGGTACTATAAATTATATACATTGTACTTTATATACTAGTATATATACTGTATATATTACTTATAAAAACATTATTTAAACAAGGTAATTGACATTTTGACTTAATAATATTTTAGTGTTTGGTTAGACATAGGCGCCAGCATAGCTCAGTGGTTAGAGCACTGGTCTTGTAAACCAGGGGTCGTGAGTTCGATCCTCACTGTTGGCTTTAATTTTTTGTTTTTTTTAATTTTGTTTTTTTATTTATTTTTTATTATTAAATATTTTTTTATTGCACATTTAATATATAAAATAATAATATGTGAAACAATAAGTATTACAAAATGTTTAGTAAAACTTATATTTATAATAATAATTATTATTTAATTGACTTTAAATTATTATTGATTTTTTTTCAATAGACTTATATACAGTGTATATAGAGATTGAAAATAACATTATTATTGAACATAACATTAGTGTTATTGTTGTTGTTGTATAACACTTACTATAATCACAAACATGTTTCACACAATTTATTATAAAATATAATTTATTGTTATTATTATTATTATAACTGTAATAACAATACAATCGATGGCCAACTTGTTGTGTGATTTAAGTCGATATCAATTGTATTCAATGGTTAACGCATTGAGACGTGAAGTCCAGTGTTTGACAAATGATTTATTAAGATATCAGTTATTAACAAAAAAATATGAAAAATATCTGCAATTTATTGAATCAATTGATGAAACAATTGATGAAAAATTAGTGAAAAATGAAATCAATTCACTTATTGTAACCAAAAGCTGTTCCGTGTCTTTGAAGATATTAAATAATACAGATATTTGCTGTCAATTAAACGGTATTTTAATTTATTTATAATTTTATTTTTATTTGATTTATATTACTATTTAATTATTTAATTTAGATCTGAAATCAATTGATTGTCAAACAAGTGTTGAATCATGAGATGAGTGGACACAAACTGATAATAAGTCAAGAAATATCAATGAAATAACTAATGAAGAGATTGAAGACATTGATTGTCAGATAAGTTGTCAATCAATGGATGAGACAATTGTTGAGCAAAGAGTTGATAAAAACAATGACAACAATAGTTGTAATATTAATCAAATAAAATCAATGATTGAAGAAAAGTCAAGTAATTTGAAATTATCTGTAAACAAGATATTGAACCAAAGGTTAGCCGTTGATAACAATGACCAGCGAGTAGTGGTCAGTGACTACAATATAATTTTCGGAGAAGTCAGTAATAAACCCAATGATAATAAAGATATCAATCATTTTACTAAAATTGATAGTCAAGTAGTAGTTGACTGTCGAAAGCTTAGATCAACTAATAAAAAACACCGACTGTTGATATCAATAGTAATTATAATGTAGACGAAGATAGCGATGAAACTGTTATTTTTGATGATTATATCGATAACTTAAGTGACGATAGTTCAGACAATATCGATAAAGTCAACGATCAACGAGTTGTTTGTAATGATGAAGACGTCGTTAACAGTGATGGACAACAGTTCCGGTGTTCAACAAAGGGCTGTCGTAAAGCATTTAAGATGAGACGGCAATTGACAGCACACGTGAAGCTAAGTCACCTACAAGTATATCAATGCGATTACAATGAATGTCAGTATAAAACGGACAATAAATATGTATTTGAAAAACACAAATCAAGACATCGTTCTGGAGATCAGTTATTTAAATGTAATTTCGCCGACTGTTCCGTTACAATGAACACTAGACAAGCGCTCAGACATCATCACCAACAGAGTGTACACAACCTGAACACTGGAGATCTTCCATGGCTTCAATGTCCGCACTGTCCGTATAGAAATAAATTAGAAAATCTACTAAAACGTCATATGTTTGTACACACAAAACCGTTCAATTGTGACGATTGTGATCAATGTTTTTCAAATTCATTGTTACTATCGGCTCATATGTCCAAACATACTGGTATGAAAAAATACCGGTGCAAATGGCCTGACTGTGGTAAATGTTTTGCTAAAAAAGAGAGTCTCGACAATCATATGGAAACACATTCACGACTTAAGGAATACCGGTGCGAATGGTCGGATTGTGAGCGAACTTATACGACTAAAAACTCACTGCAAATGCATGTCGAACGACAACATAAGGGAAAGGGAGTCTACCGGTGCCATTGGACCGGTTGTGATTATCAGACAACTAATACTATACTATATCGATATCATCAGCAAAAACATGACGGATCGGAACCGGTATATGAATGTCAAGCAATTGATTGCAATTATAAGACAAAAATGAAAGACACGTTTGACATACATATACGCATAATTAACATAATTAATTGATTATTTATTAAATATAATTATTACCGGTAACTGTAATCGTATTTATTTTTAATATGAATTACGATAATTAAAAAATATATATCATATTTTTAATAAATGTATTTAATAATCTTATTAATAATTTTAGTTTTTTTTATATATTTAAATTTTATTCTATAGATTAATTATTTAAAAATATGTTTTAATTTATATAGAAATTTAATATTGTTAACATATAGATTCATATATTTAATGTATAAATTTTCTAATAAAATGTCAATTTTAAAATAATTTTAGTTAAGGAAATAGTTTCTATTTTTTGATTATATTAAAAATGTTTGACCACTCGGAACGGATCCCTTCCCTTCCGAAACACCTGTAATGGTGTTCAGAAACGGTCATCAATGGCACTGACGAGTCTTCAACCCATAAGGTTATGGAGATCTCGGGCACCGACATCGCGCTCAGGAAGGGATCCAATCACTCGTCATTGTGGTTAAGGCTGACTTCACACACATTGGATGTGAAGCTAGGGATACATACTATAGAAATGATTCCGTGAAGTATGATCTTAAAGTATACCTGAGCTCACATACACACTACCCGTCCATTACTATGTTAATAGTATTACAGTTTGTAAGTTAAATGTTTTTATCTTTTCATACAGAAAAACAAAATAAATTAATATTTTTGTATATTTTAACGATTTATATATATTTTAATAAATTATAATTTATATTATTATTTAATAAAACATTTTTCTAAATAGTTTTTTATTATAGTAGTGCACAAAAAAAAATTAAAAAAAATAGTTTAAATTGTTTCAATAATTTTATTAATAAACGTTTTTACTGAACAACATTTTGTGTTTACAAACATTGCATTCAATTTTGAATTTTGTTTTTTAATGTTTTTATTAAATTAATTGTTATTTATTTTATTTGTTAACTGAATGTCTCTAATAATTAGTGACTCGTTGTGTGATTTAAGTCGATATCAATTGTATTCAATGGTTAACGCATTGAGACGTGAAGTCCAATGTCTGACAACAGATCTCTTAAGATATCAATTGTTTGCCGAAAAATATCGACAATTTTTGAATGAATTGAATGAAAATATCGGTGAAATTGGTATTGAATTTGACGAAGACTTGAGACAAATGAGACAACAATTGATAGCTTTGAGTGACGACAACGACTGTGAGGTTGCCATCAATGAAGACATCATTAATCGTAAGACATTGTTAAGGATTTGATAAACAATTTATTCATTAATTATTTGTTTGTTTGTTTGTGTCTTCAGATGACATGAATTCAAGATATTTGGACAAAGAATGTCAAACAATAAGACACGACATCAGTTCAGGTGATAGTCATTACCAGAAAACACTTCTTCTTGTTAAGAATGAGTACAATCTGGAAGTCGATTGCGATAATAATAATGACATTAAAAATGAGACAAATGTCAATCAAAGACCATTGAGAGGATGTAATGACAAACAAAAAGTGATAACATTTACTGAAATGAAGAGAATGAGAAGGAAGAAGAATAAGTCGTCGACTAATAAAGAGTTCAATCAGAAGAAGAAGAAGAAAATGGTGAAGAATTCACCAGAAGAAGTGTTGGTCATCGATGAAGATATTACGAAAACAACTGATGAATTAACAAATCTTGAACAACAAATTGATATTCAATTAGTAAATCGACCAGAAATTAGTCGCCGACGAGGACGAGGACGACCGCCCAAAATAGTATTAAGTAGTGATAATGACAACAACGACAAAGACATGAATGTCGTGGACACGACTAAGACAAAGCCGACGACAACAACTAAACTACAGCACAAATGGACATTTGTTTGCGATTACAACGGCTGCGGTAAACGTTTCAAAACTAGTCACACACTAAACTATCATAAGGATCAGCATATGGGTGTCCAACCGCGCTATCGGTGCGATTGGCTCGATTGCGGCAAATCCTATGCCACCATTGAATCACTGGTCAATCATCGACGCTATCATTCCGGTGCCGGTAGTTCTGGCGACGGTGTGACGATCGAGAAATACCGGTGCAATGTATGCGGCAAACAGATCTCGTCGATGAGTAACCTACGAAAACATCGGGTACTGCACCTGAACCGGACCTACCGCTGCCGATACGAGGGCTGTAACAAACAATTCAAATCGCCAGTCAATGTGGCCAACCATATGAAACATCACGAAAAACCAGTCAAATGTACTGAACCCGGTTGTACCTACCGGTGCTTGAATAATGCCAAACTTCGTATCCATCAGTACTCACATTTACCCGAAAGTGCCAAACCGTTTGTCTGTCAGATCCAGGACTGTTCAAAAGGCTTCAACAGTGACCAAGCAATGACCGAACATCAACTTCGGGTACATCCGGCGGCTATGGTCGACACCGAATGGATCGACTGCTCGAACACTGACTGTACGTTTCGTACTAAGTCTACTATTGCCTATACTGAACACACCAACAGGCATACTGGTCGCTACCGGTGCCCGATATGCAGCCGATGTCTGACTCAGGCACATCAGTATACGGTTCACATGCGTACGCATAATACTGACCAGAAAATCCGATGCGAATGGCCCGGCTGCGAACGAATGTTTACCAACGATGCCACAATGCGCGACCATATGAACGTACATACCGGTGCCAAATCGTACAGGTGCTCGTGGCCCGGTTGCGACAAACAGTACGCTACCCGACACAAACTGAGCTATCATATAACGTTCAAACATCGGGGTAAAGGTTGTTATCGGTGCCAGTGGTCTGGTTGTGGCTATCGGTCGAAACAAAAAGATCTGTTTGATAGACACCAACGACAACATGAAATATCTATTACCGGTGAGGATGGCGGCGAAAAATCTACCGACGCTTGAATAGTCATATTTATTATTATTTATTTTTGTTTTAAAATATATAAATTATATTATATTTTTTGTTATATTGTAAAATATAATTTATTTATTTTTTTAATGTTAATTTAATTTATAAGTAAAACTAAAATGTTTATAATATAGTACTGTATTATTGTTATAATAATAATTTATCAAATATTTTGTAATAATTTTTTTCATACAAATTTCTATTCATGTTTTTGGTAATGTAATATTAAAATTTATATATATATCTAATATAACAATGACAATGAAATCATTGTTGTATATTATATCTACTGTTTAACAATAGATTATTATTATTATTATAAATATGAAATATTTTTTTGTTGTATTTATTACTAAACAAAACAAATCAATCATAAAATTGGCTAACAATAGTATTGTTATTATTATTATTATTACAATGGTATACATAAATTTTATTATTCATAGATAAATTATAATAATATAATGAAACACTGATTTTTTTTTATTATTATAAAGTCTAATATGAAATATTCATAAAAATTAATGTTATTTAGCAACAAAATAAAATCAATACATTTTAGTTGATTAATATCTATTTAAGGCTATAAATATCTAATACAGTAAATATTCAGTCTATTTCTATCAAATTATTTAAGTGATTAAAAATTTATTTTTATTAATTAATTAAAATTAATTAATTATCAAAAATTATTTTATTAATAAATATTTATTTATTTATTTTTATAAATATGAGTTCAATTAATAAATTGTATGTTTGTATTTACTTATTATTTAATAATATTTATAAAATAAAAATTTCTATCAAAAATAATGTATTATTATTTTTTTATTAACAGAGCATATTTAAATTTTGTTGAAAAAATACGACCTGGCCAAAATTTGACTAATATATATATGCAATGTAATCGTACTGTAAACATAACAAATACTATCAATATATTCTACCTGGATGCTATATTTCCATCAATGAATTTTGTAAATTATATTTTATTTTTTAAAATACTAATTATTTATTTTACTTTTTTTTACTTATAATTTACAAATAACTAATAATTTTTTTCAGACTAAATTTATGCTATTGAAAATAAAACAATTTTAACATTTATACATATATTATTATAAATAATTATTTATTTTTTTGCTTTTTTAAATTATCTAATTAAGTGTTATTTAATTATTTTGAAATAATAGAGAGTTTATGGCTTTCCATTGGCATTCATTCAATACATAATATGTCAAATGTCATTGAATGTGGAGATAACTACCAATTTTGTACACGAAACGGTAGCTAAATGGCAAATAAAACCGGCCAATAAATATGAACTACTAGTGCTGAATGTATGGGTATTTATATAAGTCATGTTATTTTTTTAAAAAAAATATATATTTATATACAGTATATATAATTATATATTTACAGGTATCGGATATTATATTTATGCACCGTACTAAAATAACCGAAAATATTATCAAATATGGCGAAATTGTTAGCCGAGATCAAACACATTTGTTAGAAATATTAACAATAGTTAGCCGGGTCGATGATTATACTTATTTTAATTTTATATATCTATTTGATTTTATTGTAAGTATATAGAAGTATTTTATTAGTAGTTTATTAGTAGTATACAAATAATGCCAATTAATAGGTTAAATTTGAATAATATCGTGTACAGTTAACTTTACGCTAAGCAAGGTAACTTAGTATTATAGTTAGCTTATACTGTAGTATAGATAAGTTATATACAGTACCTTGCTAAAGCATTATATAATATTATTCAAATTTAAACTTTTAAGTGCCATAAACTGTATTGTATTATATCATATATTCAATATATACTGATATATATAATTTATCTTTAAATAAATTGTTTTTAATTATTTATAATTTATTTTACCTTATTGTTGTTGTGTATAGATTTGGCTATTATTATTGATGTCAATAATATCGTATAGCTATATATGGATGATATTAACAACTACTACCATACGTATGACATTTATAACAACCCTAACGGCTATTGTAAGTACAGTACTTAACCAACAGTCCAATTGGTTTAATCAATTGCAATCAGTTGGTCTGAATGACCATAATTGGCTAAAACGTCGAAAAATTTGTCTATTTATTTGTCTAAACATATGGCTATTATCCAGTTTTGTTATCAATCGTTGTTTTTCTGAATTTCTATTGAATACATATATCAAACCGAAACCTGTGATACTGGTGCCCGATATTGAGACACTGGTAGCTAATAGACAGTTGAAATTATTTGGTTTTATTGACTTAAGAAATACTATCAATAGTACCAAACATGATATGTTTGTCAAACTTAACAATAGAATATTGGATGCTAAAAATATCAGGGAAATAATCAAAAATATTAATAAACAAGGTCAACAAATTGATCAGTATGTTATCGGGGAAATCGTTAAAGGACGTGCAGTATTTCTAGAAAGTAGCGATAAATGTGAATCGTTGATAGGGGTAGCACCGGGATCATTGAGATCGACGATGACAATGGCACCGGATAAATATTTTTTCAATTATTTCGTACACTATGTACGCAAACAATACACACTACGGGAACCGATACGTCAGGCATTGATGTATTCAATGGAAACCGGTTTGGATTTAAGGGACAGAAGTCTAATCAAATTGATTAAACTTTATAGGGGATCGTTGGTAAAAGCTAACGGACCTAACAATAGTACTTATGCTAATAATAATAATAATAACAATGATAATAATTATAATGATATTGATGACCCTGTTAAATTAAGCGATCTGTCCAGGGGTGTTTTACTAATGTTAATCATTGGACTAATCGTATCGATTATTATGTTTGCTTTAGAACTACTGTATTATTATTATTATTATCCATCAATTAAACATGGTCTATTAAGTAAATACCTGGTACCATTATCAACTAGGCGACTTATTGTTACTAATTATAATGTAAACGTACATAAATAATATTTAATGCTATTTTTTAAAAAAAAAATTGTAATTTACTATTAAAATATTATCAATAATATTTATTTAACATGAAAATTTTTATTAAAAAATAACATATGAAAAATAATAATAAAAAATTTTCTTTTTATAAATAGTAATATTTTTTATAAACATTAATTAATTTTAATTATAATTATTTTATTTAATCTAAAAATTGAACTAATATACAGTATATATAATATATATAATCTATATATATATATGAATAATAACATACTGTTCATACAATATGTATTTAATATTTTAATTATCTATTATATCTAATATCAAGTAAGTTCTCTTAATAAATCTATTGATTTATTTTAAAAAAATATTTATTAAATATAAATCTATATTATATGGTACTATTTATAGTACATATATAATATTAAGTAACTTAGATACAAAAATTATTATTTACTAATAAAATAATAATTTAATAAAATTTTTTTAAATATTCTATAGTTTTTATAAATTATTCTTATATTTGTATTTATTCTTATATTTGTATTTATTCTTATAAAAAAATAGTATTATTATTGAGTATTAGTAATATAATATATAATATATAAAACATTATACTTTACTTATTTAATATACAATCTATAAATTGGTGAAATAGTATAGATATAATAGATTACAATTATTTTGCTAAGTAATGAATTTTTATTGTTAAATATTATATTTTATATTAAAATCTTAAGTAATAAAAAAATACAAAACAAAAATATGAAATAATTATTATGTTTTTATAAATATATAAATATAAATATAAATTAAATAAAATAATATATATATATATAAAATATATAAAAATAAAATTTTAAATTTAAAAAAGTTTTTAAAAATATGTATGAATAAAATAATAAAATACATAATATAAAAACATTATACTTTACTTATTTAATATACAATCTATAATTTCTTGAAATAGTATAGATATAATAAAATAAAATTATTATTATTATTATTTTGCTAAGTAATAAATTTTAGTTGTAAATATTATATTTTACATTAAAATGTTAAATATAAAAAAATATAAAACAAAAATATTAGATAATTTTTTTTATCAAAAAAAACATTATAAATTTCAAATCATAAAAAATTAATGTTTTAAAAATTATAAATGCATAAAATAATAATGAATTTCAATATAAATAACTAAGAAAATAATGAATCTGATAATAATATAATAAAAAAACATTTTATATAATAAAAGCTAAATTAATAAAAATAGTTTAAATTTAGGAAATCTTATTATATTATATTTTATTATAATCTTATGCAATACAATAATGTAAGATATTTGTTGACAATAATTGCAACATTCAAAAATAATTAAATTTGTCTTGCTAAAAATTCAACAATGTTTGATTTGTTTTAAGTAGATATGCAAAAAAACTAAATAATATTAAGTATTTTATTTTGATAAAAAAATAATTAAAATTATGTTTTATAAATATATATATATATTTATATAACATAAAAACATTTTATTATTTATTTTAAAATTAACATACTTTAAATGTTACAATTATTTAATATTTTTTAATAAAAAACCAGTATTTTATAAATAAAATTATATATAATTATACAATACTTTTGTTTTTAATTTTTAGCTATTAGTTAATAATTTTTTACAAAAAAAACTTATAATTCTATAAATATTTTCAATATTTTCAATAAATGATAAAATTAAATAAATAAAATGCTGATTTTGTTTTTGTAACTTTGTACTTACAATAATAATAAATAATTTTTGAAAATGTATTTTTGTTAAAAAAATAATATCTATTACAATGCAATGATTTATATGTAAAAACTTGTCAATGAGATTATTTTTTAAAATTTATAATTTACATTAAAATATAAAAAATATTGTATTATTTTTTTGTTGTCCATCACTTGAGATAAAATCGTTGTTGTTGTTATAAATTTATTTTTTTTATATTTTGATATGTAATTAAAAAATTTATTATACTATTCAATCTCTCTG